TAATGTTTGCATTTTGCAAAGAATTAATGGACAGCCGATATTTGCTGTTTTTTTTTGTTTTGAATTATTTTGTATGTTTTGTTGCTATTTTTATTATTTTTGTTATTTATTTTCTTTAAGAATATATGAAACTAAAGTAATGTAAAAAAAAAATTCTGAGAAAAAGTGCCTTTCCTAATAAAATATGATGTTAAAGTTAAATTTGTACGACTTTTTTTGTTTTGCAAACAATTAATGGACATACTGTATGTTTCTACGCCTCGGCGAGCAATTGGAAAAGTTTTTGGCGACAAACCGACATTTAAGGGCCAACTGCAGAGTAGACATCTCCCCGTTTCCCCGCCTCCACGGCTGTCCGTCTCAATTCTCGTCTGACCTCCTGCTTCTTGCTTTTCGCCCAACAACTCTGAGTCTGAGCGAAATCCAATTTTCCACTATAATTGAACAGGTTGCGCCATAAACAGTAAACAATAAAAATGTGCGCATAAAAGTCAACGCCGAAGTGCAACAAATCTCAATTATGAGCAGCAGCACAGCTCAGCACAGCGCGCAAGGCGTGCGAGCGAGAGATGGCTAGGCTAAAAGAGAGCGAGAGTAACAGTGAGAGTGAGAGTGAGCGTGTGCCGAAGGGAGATTTTAATGCGATTACGACAAGAACAACAACAATAACAACAGTAACAATGCTTGCTCTATTCTATGCACTTGACTGCGGCTACTGTCCCACATAAACTGAACTAAATAAAAGTCAGTTTATAAATGATGCGTGTAGATGGCAAACGCTAATTGAATCAGTGAGCAGCCAACCAGCGATAAGGTAGATAATTAACATATGCCGTTAAGACAAACAGACAAAGAGAGTGTCGCAGAGAGGGAGAGAGCGTGCGAGCAGTGCCCACCCGCTTGGAAGTTAAGCAGCGGCTGTTGTCATGACAGCGCTGGAAAGCAGCTTCTAGTTTATGACTTGCAGACACACGCATAGCCGCACACACACATGCACGTACACACACACACACAAATGCGGAAAAGAATTATATACTTCTGCAACTGTTACTTTAGTTTTTTCTATCTATGTATTTATGTATGTGTTTGTATATAAATGCCAAATTGCATTGCGCTTTGTGAATTATTACGGCCTTGCATGCACATTACTTTGGCTTTAGCATTTGCTTGACTCTCCTCTCTTTTTCGCTCTCTCTCTCTTTCTTTTTTTATTATGCGCGGGGGTTTGCAGTTCCGCGAAATCTGGCCACAATGTGCTACACAAAAAAATATATAAAACCAAAACAGGCGCAACAAATGACAAAGCCGGATGATGCACTTTGATAAATTTAGCTGTAGCTACATGTGCATGTGCATGTGCGTGAGCGTGCATGCGTGTATATGTGTGTGCGTGCTTTACTGCATGTCTCATATATAAAGCCAAAATGTTGGCAAGTCAATTAAGATCCTTTTAGTTCGCCTACCCTTGTCACGTTCTGTGTAATGGATCGAGCTTAATATCTGAAATTCCATAAAGCGTGAACGAGCCTGTGCCTTAAACCGTTATTCTTGTCACATACAATCTTTATACGCAAATTCGCGAAAGTATCTTTAATGGGAAGTCTCTGTAGCATGAGAGATATAAAAATGAAATGATTTAGCCAACAAAAAAATCCCAATATATGCGTATCAAAATAATGTGGGATACACAAAATCTTATCAAAAGACTTTCAGGTTAATTGTCACTCGCAATTGTATTTCTAGTTAACTATGAATCGAAACTTGCACAAAAATGAAATTTATCCTTAAGAGATTTAATTGCAAAAATATTCTAAATTTGTATAAAAAATATTTTTATTGTTTTTCATTTTTATAAACAAATTCAAGAATTATATGATTGAAAACGTTAAACGTAAATATTTCAAAATTTTTTAAAAATCCAGCCTAAAATTTAACAACATATGTATATATGCATATTGTATTAAAAGAATTTTCCATCCCCAGTTATGAGCTATCCAAATCTTTCACACCTTTAATTTCAAGAATTTTAATTATTTTTATTGCGATATTTTCTTCTGATTTATTCCACGTGAAGCACAGAATTCTAAACAAAGACACATTTATGGTTATTTTCATTGAAATGATTTTTGTTGTGCCAAAAATTTTTACTTTTGATCTGTTCGCCCTGTCACCGCATAAATAAACAACAACAGCAATAAAAACAACAAATTCAATTTTGCAAGAATTTTTCGGTCAAACATAATTTTTGGATGTCTTTTATACAAACAACTTTTCGATTTGTTTATAAATATGAAGAAACCGCAATTGGATAAATGTAAACAAGAATTTGGCTGGCAATCGGCGTTTTGTTTGGGGCCGAAGAAGAAGAGGAAAACAACAGAGAATATGATTTCGGTTTTTCGAATTTCTGTGAGCACTTGAACTTGAACAGCCATGAACACAACCCACACACACAGACATACACATAAACACTTCATTATCTTTTAATTTAATTAATTTTTTGTTGGGCTTTACACCTTTTTGGCCAACAGACAAACGCAGAAATTAAGAAGTCAACGAACGCCGCACGAAAGTCGCGTGAAAAACGCGCGCGTTTGCGTAGCGAGTGTGAAATGAAAAGGGCGCTGCGAGCGCTGCCAACCGCACCGTTACACAATTCAATCCCAACTGAACTCTGCGTCGGCGTCGTCGTCTGGTCTGGTCTGTTCTGCCTGCTGTTATGCCATGCATGTTGCTGTTGTTGTTGTCGTCGGCGCAGCCGAAGCGTAGCATAAACGAAGCTCTCCACTACGGAAAGAAAGCAAAGCGAGCATCGTGGGAGATGGGGCCAAAGAGCACGCTCGGCTTGACGAGTGAGAGTAAGCGAATGTGTGTGTGTGTGAGAGAGAGAGAGTGCAAGCGATAATGACATGGCACCTGCTTGTGTCTTCTTGTTGTTGTTGTTCTTCTTCCACTTCTTTGTTTTGGCTGCTGTGTGACTCTTGCTGGTGCGTCTGCCGACAGGCGGCGTTGCACCGCAACCGCTTATTAGCAATGCGAGTGCGTTAGGGTTTTAATATACCCTGTAGCTATCAACAAAGTGTAAAAAGGAGGATTATGGTTTTGTGGTAATGTTAATTGGCGGTTTTATAACACATTGATTAAATGTGTGAAAGGGGAATATCTTCAATATATATTGAATTATATACATATATTTTATGCCATTTATGTGAATGAAGAGTGTTTTAAGTGACTCATTTCATTTGGAATGTCAATTATTTCATATTTTGTATTGTCAATATTTTTAATATTTTTAGCTTTAATATTTATAATTTATATATAGATAAGTGTTTGCATAAATATAAATAAAAATTCAGGCTTTTTCTGAGCTACTATTTATCAGTATAGTACAGGTTATTTGCTAGTCGAGAAGTCACAGCAAACTAATCTCTGCCTCGTTTCGTCATTAATGCAACGCATGATGCACACACGTGTGAGAATTGGCTAATGAGTCAACAGGTTGTCCGCTTGGCTGCCCCAAAGTGGAGTCGAACGAATTTCGAGTGGAGCCGCAGCTGCAGTTTTTCGGAAGGCGGGCGCCAAGTGGGTGGGATTAATTAATGGGCAGCGAGCACTGCATTTATTATACAAATGTAGCTCAGGGATGGCAGCGGGCAATAGGCGGCAGTGGACAGACGGCCAGCATAGCCTGCAGCATATCGAGAAAGGCGGCCAAGGTCAGAGTCATAGTCAGAGTCAGAGTCAACTAGAGTCGCCCAACTGTGGCAGCCACATTTATCAAAGTGCCTTCGCTTTGATTGCCACAAGCAACAAATTACACGTATTTATAAACGAAGCGGCAAGGCGGCTACAAAGTATCGAATAGACCAATTGAAATGTCTTACTTCTCATTTAACTAGCACTGCGAATGGGAGCATGGGAGGGAGGGAAAGAGGCAGCTGCAAAAGTGGGGGACAAACATTGTCAGCGGCTATACGAAATCCATAAAGACAACACAAATGGCCCGTAAAAATATTATGATGCCATTGAATGTGGCACGAGTTGCTACTGAGAATATGTGCAACAATTTGGTTGAACGGCTGGTTGAATACCCTGTAAAAGTTATGGAGGAAAATGAATGAAAAATAGTTATGAGAGGAGAGAGAATAGAAATGAGAGATTGAAAGGAGAGAATAATACAAAATAGAGCACAGAGAAGAAATGTGAGAAGATAGAAGAGGGAAGAGAGACCAGAGAGCTGACAAGAGAGAAGAGACAAGATTTAAAAGAGAATATATATGAGAGATAAGAGGTGGCAGGTGAGAAAGATTAGATACAAGAAGAGAGAATAGAGTATAGAATATAGCGAATTGAGAATAGAGAACAGTTCTCTATAGAATAGATATCATGAAAACGGAAGAAACTGGAGAATAAAATACGCCATGTATAAATCTTTACAGGGTATATATGCTGTGTGTTGCCTTTTGCTCATCGCATTGTGGTTTTTCTTCAGCTCACTTTGCCGGCACTTTGTTCGATTTGTATATTTGCACTACAAATAGACAAATGGACCGGACGGCGTTGGGCGGCGGGGGCGTGCCAGTTGGGTGGCTCAATGGGCAATTGGTCTTTGGCCAAGAGTTTTTCATTCATGGCGTACGCGCCCAAAAGTCAACAGACCCTCAGGAGTCTCTCAACAACTGTGATGGACAGCGCACGCATGAATATACCTACATATATAAATATACATATATACATATATACATATAAATTTATATGTATATCTGRCGGCCATTTTCGCTGTGACGGCAGCAAAAAGAGATCCGAATCCCTTGGCCGGATCAGCAATGAGTAAGGCAGGCGATTCATTGCTTGATTTCTTCTCTTTTTTTTCGCTTTGCTCATAATTTATGAGATTTTGTTTTAATGCAAAAAAAAATGATTAATTGGCTTCCAATTAAAAAAAAGGGGGGCATCAGGGCAGTCAAATGTATCGGCTCTTACCATATAAAGCGTGTCAGCGCGCGAGCTATCAAGCAGTCGTAGGTGTACTCAAGATTGATGACACCCCCCCTACCCGACAGCCCCTTCGACTCCGTCCTCCCTTCGCGCTTAATTAGAGGTCTCGCAAATTGCATGCATTATTGAGTCTGGACCAAGTAGGTGCCACAAGGTGGCAGCTGCCACTGTGCCAACTATCCATCAACTTGATAAGCAGCACCATTAAAAGTATCTATATGTATGTATATGCGTGTATATATCTACCTGTATCAGGTAATCTTATGCATGTACGTATTCATATTCGATTACGAAATGCAAAACGTGACTTCGTCCACACGGCTGATTAATTGTCGAAACGAGGGAAGAGGGAGTGAGAGCTAGAGCGAGAGCGAGTGGGACAGCTAAATGCCGGAAAAAGTTGGCACTGCATAGCGAAAAAAAGCGGGGAAAAAAACGGTATCGCTTGATACAATGGCTAAGTAAAAAGTGATGATACCAAGGGGTAATAAATATAGCCACCAAACTTTTTTTTTGAATGATTTAAAATGTAATTTTTTTTTAGTCGGATTTAATCTTACTTTACTTTATACTTGGAATAAGCAATTAGGTGCTAAATAACACAGATTTATTGGACTCAAGAGATTAATATAAAAATATATATAGTTCTGATAAACATTGTCATTGTCAATCATCATAATCAATCTCATAATTAAAGTTATTATATAAAAGAAATATTATTGTCATAATCATTTTTTTTATTTTTAATTAACATTCTTATTGGTCATTATCACTATCATTGTCAAGATTATCAGAACATTGTCATTAGCATTCGAATTGTCATTGTTTTTGTCATTATCATTAACATGCTGATTATTATTATCATCATCACCACCATCAGTATCATCTAAGATTTTAAACTTAAACCAAGATTCCGTATTGCTTCACATAAAAAGAATTCCTGGAATCCATGGAGGGTATCTAATTGTTAAATAAATTGTTAACTACAGAAAACAAAAACAAGTCAATTTAAGCAAAAATAAGTAATGCAGATGTTGAATAAATTGTGGCACATTACGCCTTATAAATAGCCCAATTAGCAATAGATTTTCCTTTTGTTTTATTTTTAAATATAATTCCACAAGAAATGTAAATAAAAACGAAATTCTTTTTATTTTCTGGAACTTTTCAGTTTGATGAAACCTTGGACTTGACTTGCTCTATAAATTGACCAACTATAGCTAATACGGGCAGATACAGACAGACAGACATATGTACGAACATAGATGTGTTTTCTACATTTTGGCCAAAGGCGAACTGTGTTTATTACAAAAGCTATCTATCAATAGATCTTACGGACCATAAATACCGCTACACAAGCAACACAAACATTTCTTTTTATGTGTGTGAACCTTTGGAAGCTTGAATGTGGGTTCATTTGGGTCTGTTTATTTACCTGTCCGCCTATGATACATGCGCCTGTCATTTGCTGCTTTTAATTACATCTGTGTGGCACATATAGATAGACGTACTTGTGGATACATTAATTTTTTTGTATCTGTAAGATACACATTTTTTTTTCGGAACTGCCTCTGCCTACCAACCATTAAGGCCATTACATTAGATAATGTACGGCGTGAATCCTCTGAAAGGTTGCTCATGTTGTTGTTTCTCGTATATTTCCCTACACTCATATTTATTTTTATATATTTCTCAGACTTGATTTGAGGAAAACATCACATGAACAGACACGAACATGTTTTCTTTTTAGTATTTGCGTTTATTCCAAGTAAAATATCATTTGCTCAAATATTTCTTTGGTAAATCGTCGATGTGTTTGGTTCTTACGGGCTCTAATTCACGCCTGGCCATTCATTTGGTACACGAGATGGGCAAACTAATTGAGTTTAATGGGGGTCATGTCTTCAAGCCATGCGATTTATTTGACATGCGTCAGCTGCACGCGTTTGCCAACACTAGCAAAATATCGAGAGATTCTTTTCCAATATCCTTGAAACTTCAATATGAATAAGAAGCATCGAAAGGAAACTCGATTGAGTGCGAATTGATGCAAAACATACGAACTTGAAATCTGAAAATCAAAGAAACACATATTTTGCATCTCTCCATTGATTTCATCTCTCATTAATTTCAACGACTGCCAAAAAAAAAAAAAATCGAAAACGAAAACCAAAAAGATTGATGATCAATTAAAATACTTTTTCGATTTGCCAGCCAGAATTCATTTCGCTCATAATTATCGTAACAATAATTCATAAATTGCGCCCGTGGCGGTTTATACGCTGCCCCATTAGCCCTAGTTCGATTAGTGCTTGGAAACGTGAAAACATGCACAAATTATCGCTAAACGATGTTGAGAATTATTTGTACAATCCTACAACGGAAAACAATTTGTCCAAGAACTAATCTTTAAGATTTTCAGTTGATTTCTTTAATGACTTTTGGCCACTATTAAACTAATACATTGAATATTATTTGGCAATGTATACTGGGTTTGCATATTTAATACATGTATTATTTATTAGCTGCCTTAAAAATTATTTGGCTAATATTCTTGATTTTCAACAAGTTTTTAATAGGTCATCAGTTTTATGGCGAAAATCTTTGAGCATTATATTATCTAGACTTAATAACTAATAAACTGAGCACATGAAACCATTTGCCAACTACCGCTTAACGGTCTG